GTGGTGGGGACTGCAGAGTGGCAGTGAGTGACCCTAAGGGTCCATAATAATCCATTTGGAAATGAATTGTGGGTATCTAAGTTTTGTTTCACCAAAGTCGTGGCTGGCAGATACAAGGAGAATATGGCTTTGGTATCTCTTTTTTTTTTTTTTCCTCCTGTCAGGCTGTCATTGTTCCCAGGTGGCAAGCAGCCCAGCCTGTGGGCGCACCCCCACCTGCACGCATTACCCCCGCCCCCACTGCCAGGGCTTACTGGAAACCTGATGCCTTTGATGTAAAGTTTGTGCTCTTTGCAGCAGACGCCCTTTTCCCCAAGAGGACAGGCAGCAAGGGAGGGAGGCTGGCTTTTCTGCTAGGAGTGGGTAAAGAACATTTTCCCCGAGGGGTGCAGCTTTGACCGTTGAGATGACATTTGCAACGCTCTCTCTTTCCCCATAGGCATCAAAGACTATTCCAACTGGCCCACCATCCCGCAGGTGTTCCTCAACGGCGAGTTTGTGGGTGGCTGTGACATTCTTCTGCAGATGCACCAGAACGGGGACCTGGTGGAAGAGCTGAAAAAGCTGGGGATCCGCTCCGTCCTCTTAGATGAGAAGAAAGACCAAGACTCAAAGTGAGGACGGTGCAGGTCCTCACCGGGCCCAGCGCCCCACTCTCCGGGGAGGAAGCTGTGGGTGTTGGAAACGCCCCACCGGCCAAGCCTTAAGAATCCTGGTTCTCATGACGAAGACACAGCGGCTTGCACCACTCTCCAGGCATGTAAGCCGTCGGTGATTTCAGTTTGTCTGGTGTTAGGCTGAGAACACCCTCTTGTGAACTTAATTATAACCGCTGCACTGTAATGACTCAGTGTTGTGTTCCGATATTGCTGTAAACAATATCTGTTCTTAGATTGCCATTTTCTTTGCCTGATTCCGGAGTAAAACGTGGAGCTTTTGAATCATTATTATTCATGACTCCTCAGCCAGTGTGTGAGTCTGCAAAGATAATGTATCTCCCCCCAATTTTGTAACTTGTTCTGTTACAGAAATGATGGACAAGGAAGAAGATGTGATAACTGGGGTGCTGTTTTTTTTAAATAAACTCTACCTGGGGATACATGAGTGAGTTGTTAATTCTGAATAGCAGTAAGTGTGAGGAGTTTAGTGCCTGCAGCCGTTTGTTTTTCTGAATGAAGAATGATCCTCAGACTACTATTAAATTTGCTACAAAAATTGCTATCAGGCTGTGCTCAAGCTTTCTCCAGGGGAAGGAAGTGTTGGGCAGAGTGGTGGCATTCCTGTTGGGGGCTTGGGGGTGGATGGGCTTGGCCTGCACTGGAGGGAAGGGGCAGCG